TTTTTTTGGGATTTTTTTGGGGATTTTTTTGGGATTTTTTTGGATTTTTTGGGGATTTTTTGGGGATTTTTAGGGATTTTTTGGGGATTTTTTTGGGATTTTTTTGGGATTTTTTTGGGATTTTTTGGGGATTTTTTGGGGAATTTTTGGGGATTTTTTTGGGATTTTTTGGGGATTTTTTGGGGATTTTTTGGGGATTTTTTTTTGGATTTTTTGGGGATTTTTTGGGGATTTTTTGGGATTTTTTGGGAACTTTTGGGGATTTTTTGGGGATTTTCTGGGGATTTTTTTGGGATTTTTTTGGGATTTTTTGGGGATTTTTTTGGGATTTTTTGGGGATTTTTTGGGATTTTTGGGGATTTTTTGGGGATTTTTTGGGGATTTTTTGGGGATTTTTTTCAGGATACTTTTGGGATCTTTTGAGGGTTTTCATGGGAATTTTTTGGGGTTTTTTTAGGGGGATTTTCGTGATTTTTTGGGATTTTTTGGAGGTATTTTTGGGATTTCTTGAGGGGTTTCATGGGAATGTTTTGAGGGGTTTTATGGGAATTTTTTGGGATTTTTTTAAGGTTTTTTTGGGATTTTTATGGAAATTTTTTGGGATTTTTGGGGGGATTTCTTGGGATATTTTGAAGTATTTTTGGGATTTTTTTGAGGGTCTTTATAGGAATTTTTTGGGATATTTTGAAGAATTTGGGGGAATTTTTTAGGATTTTTGGGAAATTTTTTTGGAGGATTTTTTGGGATTTTTTTGGGGATTTTTTTTGATTTTTAAATTTTTTTCCTTTATTTTTTTGTGATTTTATTGAGATTTTGGGGGAGATTTTTTTTTATTTTTTGGCGATTTTTTCAGTGCTCTGGGAACTCCCAGAATTCCATGGAAATTCCCTGGGTTTGGGCTTGGGGGAGGTTGAGGGAATTTTGGGGAATTTTTTGGGATTTTTTTGGGACTTTTTTGGGATTTTTTTTGGAATTTTTTTTTATTTTTTTATTTTATTTTTTGGGATTTTTTGGGATTTTTTTGAGATTTTTTGAGGGTTTTTTTTTATTTTTTGGGGATTTTTTTCTGGATATTTTTGGGACTTTTTGAGGGTTTTTGTGGATTTTTTTGGGAATTTTTGGGGGATTTTTTTGGGGGATTTTTTTTTTGATTTTTTGTGAGATTTTCAGGATTTTTTGGGGGGGATTATTGGGATTTTTTTGGATTTTTTTGAGGTATTTTTGGGATTTTTTTGAGGGTTTCTATGGGAATTTTTTGAGGGTTTTTATGGGAATTTTTTGGGATTTTTTTTTGTTTTTTGTGATTTTTTGAGGGTTTTTTTTTTATTTTAAGGGGAATTTTTGGGGAATTTTTGGGATTTCCTTGGGATTTTTTTTTGTGATTTTTTGTTATTTTTTGAGAGTTTTTTGGGGATTTTTTGGTGGGTTTTTGTGGGAATTTTTTGGGATTTTTGGAGGTATTTTTGGGATTTTTTTGAGGGTTTCTATGGGAATTTTTTGAGGGTTTTTATGGGAATTTTTTGGGATTTTTTTTTTGTTTTTTGTGATTTTTTGAGGGGTTTTTTTTTGATTTTAAGGGGAATTTTTGGGGAATTTTTGGGATTTCCTTGGGATTTTTTTGGTGATTTTTTGTTATTTTTTGAGAGTTTTTTGGGGATTTTTTGGTGGGTTTTTGTGGGAATTTTTTGGGATTTTTTGGAGGTATTTTTGGGATTTTTTTGAGGGTTTCTATGGGAATTTTTTGAGGGTTTTTATGGGAATTTTTTGGGATTTTTTTTTGTTTTTTGTGATTTTTTGAGGGGTTTTTTTTTGATTTTAAGGGGAATTTTTGGGGAATTTTTGGGATTTCCTTGGGATTTTTTTTGGTGATTTTTTGTTATTTTTTGAGAGTTTTTTGGGGATTTTTTGGTGGGTTTTTGTG